TAATTTTTTTATTCATAACACTGGCCATGCCACAGAGTCCTCAGGGATCATATCTGGGTCCTTCTGCTCTCTCTTACTCCACCTGTGTCCCTTGAGACTATCAGTGCTTTGGGACAGGAGCCATTCTCTGCTACAGAACTCTGTTTCGAGAGACATGTGCTGGCCTAGGCACATGGGCAGGAGCAGCAGCAATTATTTTAAGAGCTGATGAGACGAGGGAGGAGCAGCAGGGGGTGGGCAGCAGGTGGCTTTGTTCCCTGGCAGGGCGGGAGGTAGAGCATGATGCTGGTGATGATATTTGCCCTGAGCCAAGCTGAAGGCTGCATCAAGGAGATCTCACACTTTCCAAATAGTAGGCTGGTTTCTGGGGGGTCTTGTCCCACCTCCTGTCATTGCCATTGTCCCCAGAAATGGGGTGGTTGCACTAGCTGGAGGAATCTGGACTGTGATGAAGGGAGACTGTGGCCCCTGGTCCCTTGCCTGCTTCAAGTCCTGGTGCCACCATCAACTCCCAGGGCTGTAGAAAGGGAAGATTCAGTGGAAAGTAAGTTTGAGAGTAAATAGGGAGAGTTGGTTCCTGGGTTGCAGGTGGTTTCCAAGCTGCTCAGCATCCCACATGCCAGCAGTGCCCCAGGATGTGGCGTTGCCACCTGCCTCAGGTTCCAGCTGTCACCCACTCCCTGAGGTGCCAGTTGTGACAGCAGCTGGAGCACAGGTAGGGTGGCAGTCAGGGAGCCATGCTGCAGGCACAGCAGCACATATGGGAAAGGCAGTGGAGAGCAGGCAGGAGAGAAGGAGGGGGGAAGAAGGAGAGTGAGTGATAAGGAGATTGTAATTAGCGCTTAGCGCTCCTCACCCAGAGCTTTCAGAGGAAGGTCACCTTCATTATCTCTGTTTTACAGATGGGGAAACTGAGGCACAGGGAAGGCAGTTAGAGTGATTTGCTCAAGGTGACCTGTGAGGGCTGGCAGCGAGGTCTGGGGCTTGCCTGTCCATGCTCTGCAGCACCAGCACACTGGGAATGGCTCTTGCTGCCAGCCCTTAGAGACCAAACCCAGCACTAAAAGATCAGTGGTAAAGGACATGGATCCCTTCTCTGCCCATCTCCAGGCTCATCCTCTTCAGACCCACTGTCTCCGCCAGCATCCCTGCCCCTAAGACACATTTGAGATCAAGCTGGTCCAGCTGCACCCCAAAATCTGCTCGTGCAATCCCACCCAGCTGCTGCAAAGGCTGGCTGTGAACCCGAGCCCATCTGGGCTCCTGCAACAGTCACACTGGGTAATGGAATATGTTCTGCTGCACATTTTTTCTCTCACCAATGGAGCTCCCCCTTTATTTAGGTTTAAATGGATGCCATCTGGCTAATGAGCCCATACTCATGTTCTAGATTAAAAGGCAATCCTGTGCACGTTACTGATATGGCACTGGAGATTAGAGAGGCTTAAATGGTTTTGAAGGTGCAATTTGCTTTTCATACATGGTGCAATTTACTTCCTGGTGGGTGGGCCAGCATTCCCATTGCTGTCCCCAGCAGCTCCCTCCTGGCTCTAGTCTCCTCTACCAACCCTGGCTGCAAGAAAATGAGAGCTTGGGCATCTCCAGCCTGGCAGGGCGGTGCAGGGTATTCTTGTAGTTATTGCTGCCATTTGTCCATTCCTGGAGGGTCTTTTTGGGGCAGGCAGGATGTTTCTTAGCTGTCACCCTCTCCACACCTCCCTGCACCACAGCATCTCCTGGGACAAGGCACAGCTCACCAGGACAGAGTAGCCTCTTCCCCTCTCCCAGCCCAGAGAAGTGGGGGACAGCTGTGGTCCATCAAGATATTGGTGGCAGATGGCTGAGGCTGAGGTCTCTGCTGAGATCAACATCTTGCACATCCTGCAGCACCAACTGCTGCTGTGGACTACCTGGGTGTGCTCCCCTCTCCTCAAAACCCCTCTGGAATCTACATGCAGGTAGAGTTGGCTCCTGGGATGGTGCTGCATCTGCCAAGGGGAGCCCCACCAGGGGCTGGCTTTCATAAGGAAAATGTTGAAAATGAGATGGGGAAGATAGAGCATTTGTGCAAGGCATGTCATCGCCTCCAGGCACCTCCCATGGAAAGTGCCACAGGCTATCAAGTGATGAAGCATGTCCCAGTAAAATCCTTCATTTTGCAGTGAATTTCCCTGTGATGGAGCTGTCATCTCCTTGCAGTGCCATCACTGGGGGCCCTCAGCCCTGGGGGCAAACCCTGACTGCTCCTGCCTGTGTTTGCTTCCACAGATGGCTAACCCTGTCCCGTCAGCCTGCTGCGTGGTGCTCGCCGCGGTGGTGGTGGTGTACGCCCAGAGGCACAGCCAGCAGGGTGAGTCCTTCACACCTCCCAGGCCCTGGGGGTCCTGAGAAATGGGAATGCTGCTCCTCCAGCCTCTCTCCTGGGGGAAGCTGGGTGCACCCTCCAGGTGTGCCTGACGTTATTTCTGTGCACGTTATCACTTCTCTCCATGACAAGTGTCCCCTCCAGCCCATCACTCTGGGGTTTGGGCATCCTGCATCTCCATCTGCTGACGCCCCTTGCCCTGCCCACAACTCTCTGTCTCTATTGCTTTGGACCCCTTTGCCCACTCTTTTGTGGCCATTGCCCCAAGCAGCCCACCCATGAAGGGGTGAGGAGTTGGGAGGAAGCATCAGCCTGACAGCTCCCAACTCCAATCACCCCTGACAGCTCCATGATGCCTGGACCCATGACAATGATGGATGATGCTTCATCCTGCTCTCACCTCCTTGGGGTGACTTAATCCCCACTGCCACCACACATCTGTGGCCACCACTAGCTCACATCTCTCCAGGTTGGCAGAGGTTTCAGGGCTTATTTTAGTGGTGGCTTTAGAGAGATTACACTTTCGAGTCACTGCTGGCATTGGGAGCCGGAGGAGCTCACATGATCCTGGGTCTAGGCAGGAGCAGGAAGCTTATGAGGGATGGTTGGGTCCTGGTGTAGAGTCCAGCTCTGCAAAAATAGGAAAAAATGGGGAACCTCCAGAATTCCCTGCTTTTCCTAGCAGCCTGTCTGTAGTAGCTTTTAGAAGATCTTAGAGGGGAATTTTGCTCATTAAATCCAGTAAAGACATCTGTGTATCCTTGGGCTCTGGGAAATTGAGGAATCCAGGCAGAGTGCCCACTGAGCTGCCTTAAATCCAGCTGGGTGGGTTTACATTGTCCCAAGTTTCCAGGTTGGTCACAAAGCACTAGGGTTTGGTATTACACCCACATTGCATGGGGACAGCCACTCTCTGGACACAGAAGGATCTTGCTGGCTGGTGTTCCCAGGGTGCCTGCTCAAAGCATTTGGGTGCTGAGCTGTATGTGATGATGGTGTGATGCTTCCTGCAGAGAAGCAAAGCTGCTCATCCTGGTGTGCTTGCAGGATCACTGCCTGGGGATCTTTAAAGGACCTGGCAGTAGGACTGCCAGAGCATCCTTTGGATGCTTTGAATGGTAACCCAGACCTGATGCACAGGGAGATGCACAAAACACAGAAGTGCCAGGTACTTCATGGTTGCACACACTTGAGTTGTGTTGTCTAGAGAAGAACAAATGCAGTGAGCAGGACCACATATTTTGCCACTGACAGCTGGTGCAGAGCTGCAGTGACCTGTGTCACTTTCTGCTCTATGATACAGCAGGATTCAGTTTGGCAGCATAGCCTCCCATGTCCTCATGTCCCTCCTGTTTCCTTTGCCTGCCTGTGTCTGGGAGGGAGTTTCCTAGGCCACCAGCTCAAAACTGAATCTGCTGTGACCTGTGTGCATCAACAACTGCCTGAATGGAGTGTGAGAAGTGTGGCAGGGCTCTTCCCAGCTGTAGCTGCTTCACTGGGGGACAAAAAAAGAGTACAGGGTCAGAAAATTACTTATGAGATAGTAGGACACCTTCAGGACTGTCCTCAGTCTGTCCCCCAGGGGCACATCTCTGAAGTGCTGAGGTATGCTCTGAGCTTTGGAGCAGCAGATCTCCCGCCTACCCCACCGTGCCCGGCCCGGAGAGGCTGCACACAGGCACGTCAGCACCAGAGACCCAAAGCTTGTGCCCTGTGCCCCCCGCCCAGAGCCCCCCCCTGCCCTGCTGCAGCCTCTCCTCACCTGCCAACCCAGAGCTCATCCCCCACCAGCCGGGCACTCAGGCTGGAACTGCACAGCAGGAACGGGGTGGGAGGATGGATTAATCCCACTGGTGGCAGGGACCCGGTGGAGTGGTGGGGAGATGCTGGCACAGAGTCCATTTATCATGTACTTGAGGCACGTTCGACTTTAATAGCTCATGAAGCACTCTAAGAGATGCATTAGCACTGAATACTTGAGTGAGGAGGATGTGACAAGCTGTTAAGTGAGCGTGAGCACGGCGGAGGGAGCCTGGCCACCCTCTCCTGGCTCTCATATGCACCGCAGTGATTACTGGAGCGTCCTGCAAAGTGCCACATGAATTAATAAAAGCAGCATCAGGCTTGGTGAAGGTGAGGCTGTTCATGTGTTAACTCCTCTGCTGCTCACCTTTAGTCCCTCTCCTTGGAGCTTGCAGAGCATCTGTCTGGGATGCAGAAGCTTGGGATGATCCCCAGTGATGGGGGAAGGGAGTGGAGGGGCTCAGAGGTCAGTGGATTTGGGGTTTCTGTGACCTTTGGGGTGACAGATTGCTTTGCATCTCTGGCAGGCTGCTCAGGTTTCACATACATCACACAGCTGTGGACTGGAACTTCCCAAGGGGTGTGCACTGGGTGGTGGGAGACCAGAGACATCCAGCAGGGCAGCCCCAGAGGGATGCTCGGAGGCTGGCACTAACGTTCTGGCTTTAGCAGTGGGTTTGGGGTGTCCTGCTGCAGGAAAAGGCCGAGGGGCAATGGAAGAGGGTGTCCAGGACTGTCATCCCCAGTGCATGAATAAACAGCTTTAGATGGGGCTGCCAGACTGGGCCATACCTGCCTGCAGAGATGGGCATTGCCCCCACAGGGCTGTCCCCACCTGCACAGATCCAGCTGGCTTGGAGGGATGGATAGGTGCTGCAGGAAAAATGGGAGAGCACACAGCAGGCAGAACAGGCTGAAAACCTGAGAGAGAAGGGGAGAGCCTTGTGCCCTCCATAAAGAATCACAGAATGGTTTAGGTTGGAAGGGACCTTAAAGATCATCAAGCTCCAATCCCACAGCCATGGACAGCAGCACCTTCACTAGACCAGTTTGCATAAACCCCCATCCAGTCTGGCCATGAACACTTCCAGGGAGGAGACATCCACAGCTTCTCTGAGCAACCTTCACCAGTGCCTCACCATCTTCACAGTGAAGGATTTATTCCTGATACCTAATCTAAACCTAATCTCTTTCAGTTTAAAGCCTTTACCCCTTGTCCTGTCACTGCATGTTCTTGTAAGTCCCTCCTCAGGTCTTTTGTAGCCCCTTTATGTACTGGACGGTCAAGTCTGGCCATGAACACTTCCAGGGAGGAGACATCCACAGCTTCTCTGAGCAACCTTCACCAGTGCCTCACCATCTTCACAGTGAAGGATTTATTCCTGATACCTAATCTAAACCTAATCTCTTTCAGTTTAAAGCCTTTACCCCTTGTCCTGTCACTGCATGTTCTTGTAAGTCCCTCCTCAGGTCTTTTGTAGCCCCTTTATGTACTGGACGGTCATCCCAGAGCCTTCTCTTCTCCAGGCTGAAAAATACCAAGTATTTCAGCCTTTCCTCATACAAGAGGTATTCTAGCCCTCTAATCAACTTCCCATTAATTTGGATAGCTCGGTTTTCCTTCCTGTGTTTTGTTCTCCAGGCAGTGCTTGCTGCCAATTTATTTCAGGGTTGGGGAAGGTGATGGGGAAGGCTGAGCAGAGCAGCGATTGCTGTCTGCTGTGACACTGACACCTTTGCTTGTCCAAGGCCTCCACTGTGTGAGAGCAGAGCTGGTAGGGGTCCCTGCAGTGCAGGGACCTCCTCCCTAGCAGGGTCTGAGTTCCTTCAAAGGTCTGGGAGAGGTCACAGCACAAGCTTTGGGGTTTAACCCAGGCTCTTATGTGGGAAGTGTGTATATGGTGGAGATGCCTAACCACATGTCAGGCTACAAAGTGTACATGCATGGGTGATTTCAGCTTTTTGTACTGAATGCTGTGACTGCCTGCTGCTGGACTGACTTGTTCTTATTAAACCCAATGCCTAAGGCAGTCCTGGAAAGAGGGAGCTCTGCTGTGACCAAGGTGTCTTCCCCATCCATCAGCTTTGCCAGAGTTATGTCCACGTCTGTCCCAGATTGAGATTTCTTTGCTTTTAAAAGAGGAGTAATTCTGCTTTATTGATCCTCACCTTGCTGAATTAACTCATGTTTAAACAATAATTATGTTTTCACCCAGGAGAGGAGACAAAGAGATAAAAGGCTCTGGAAATGAATGCACTTCAGATGCCACATGCTGGGGTTAATTTATTGATGGGTGAAGAAGCTCCCATCTCCTCTCTTCCTCACCAGCAACAAGCAATTAGCCCCCATCATTCCTCAGCCGAGGAAAAGAGAGATTTTGTTTCATTACTCTCCCTTTTTTCTTGCTCTCTTAAGCCCTGACTAATCTTTTGCAGTTGGTTCTGCTGCAAAGCCTCCCTGGGGCTCCAGTTTGCACATACCTTGTTAGAAATGCTGCTGCAATGACAAAGCCTGGACCAGTAAATAGCCTTCAAAATGCACAGCAAAGCCAGGCAAATTGGCTTTTCAAAGAGAAACCAGCTGTAGATAGGAAAACCTCTTTCCCATTCTAGAATTGCCCAGCCTTGTCTGTGTTGCATCTTTTGGCTGACAGAGGTGTGACCAGCTCTTTCTGGACTCTGCTTCCTCCACGGAAGTCAGCCCATGCCAGGGAATGCCATCTGCCTGGCATGCTTCAACTAGACACTTTGAATTTGGAGGTGTTCTCTGGATTTGCTGTGTAGGAGGTGGTTTGTACGTTCACACCGGGCTGTGTGTTTTGTTTGTAGAGATCTGTGTAGGTTTTGGTTGTTGTGCAAACTGTTGAGTTGAGGTGGCTGGATGCAAGAGGTGTGATGGGGTGGCCTTGTGCATCCAACCTAAGATGGTTCTGCAGGAGTGCCATCTACAAATATACATTTATAAGTATATTTGAAGTATCCTCCTCTCCTCTCCTCTCCTCTCCTCTCCTCTCCTCTCCTCTCCTCTCCTCCCCCTCTCGGTGCTATCACAGTGTCCTTCAGTCATGCATTAACTGACATGACAAACATCTGTCATGTGTTGTTTGTTTTTGCACCCTTTCCCCAGGGTGAGTTGCATGTGCAACAGAGTGATCTGAATTTTTGTAATTGCCAGGGCACAG